ATATATAATTTTAAAAAACTTTTTTAATTATTTTTATTTTATGTGTATGAGTGTACTGCTTGCATGTAGGTGCACCCATGTCATGTAATGCCTGCAGAGGTCAGAAAAGGACATCGGATCCCTTGCACCTCAAGTCATGTACGAGTGTCAGCAGACTTGTGGGTGCTGGAAATTGAACCTGAGTCCTCTGCAAAGGCAGCCAGTGCTCTTAACTGTTGAGTCATCTCTCCAGTCCCACATATATAATTTATTTTTTAATTTAAACAAAATTCTTAATTTTTTATTAGTAATAATAATTGCAATTATCAAGACAAAAATAATTTTAATAAGGCTTACTGATCATTTTGATATATTGAGAGTATTATTGGGACACATATAATTTTTTAAAAATAGTTTGAACACACATACCCTATGCTTCCCCTAGAAGACATGGGTTATCAAATAAGTATCTCAAGGCTGGAGAGATGGCTCAGCAGTTAAGAGCACTGACTGCTCTTGCAGAGGACCTGGGTTCAATTCCCAGCACCCACATGGCAGCTATGAACCGTCCTTAAACTCCAGTCCCAGAGGAATCCAAAGACCTCTTCTGACCTCTGCGGCACTGCACAACACCGGTGCACTCACATACATGCAGGCAACATACTCATACATATAAAATAAAAATTAAAAAAAAAAAAAAAAAAACTTAAAAAAATAAATCTCAGTGCCAAGCATGGGATACCTCCTTAAGAGTTTGGTCAGGGGAGCCCCAGAAGCCCTCAAAAGACAGGCTATTGTCATTGCCACCATAACTAGATGGTAAGACCCCTTTGCTGAAAACACAACACGCTTTGTAGGACACAGAGAAATCAAGCTGGAACTGACCTGAAAACATCCTCCCTGCTGGCTAGCTTTCACAATGCTTCGAAGGTGCTATGCAGACCACCAGGGAGAAAACTCAATGGTATTACCCAGTGGTGATATGCCAGGCAAGAAGTGCCCACTGGTGCAAGAGTGGCCTGAAGGTCATGGGGCAACCAACAACTTCCTGACTGGATCTGAAGACTGTTCCATAGGAGAGCATTCATACCTAGTACTGTAAACCTGGTCAAAAGCTGAAGGCTGAGGAAGGAGGTCACAGGCTCTGGTGGGGGACCAATTACTGTTGTCTTACTAAATGGACATGTTAACTGCCTTCTAAACATTATGTTTATACCCATAGATCACTGCTACTCCAAACCTTGACCAGAGAAGCTTCTTTTGTACTGCATAGCAGTTAAGGCAGAGATTCATAACTGGTCAATGTGCTAAGAGTAAGTGACTGTTCAGTGCTTAGCCCTAAATAGGTCATGTATATCAACTCCCACAAGGTTCAGGGAGCATCACAAGAGGCGGCAGCAGGAATGTAAGAGCGGGAAGATGGAGAGGAGTGCTGGGAAATGTGTCTTCTGGACACAGCACGGCCACTGGGCTCAGGCACTCACTGCAACTATGGTCACCTGCACAAGATCAAGCCAAGATCAGACAACATCCCAGCAGGCAGCACTAACTGGACTCGGTGTGGTACAAAAAAAAAAAAAAAAAAACGAGGAGAGGACATGAAGAAATGAAGAGGCCAGAGGACGTGTTGTGGTTGTCCAGGGGAAGGGGGAGTAAATGGGGAAGTTAGGAATGGATAGGATCCAGATACACTGTACATACATATGAAATTATCAAAGATTCAAAATTAAAATTTTGAAGATGACTGCCACTGAGAAAAGGAAATACGAAAAGGGCTTCAGGGATTGCTGAAGCTTCCAACAGAACCTTCACAGAACTATGTGACACATTATAAGCATATACAGTTATAATAAAAGGGAAACTGAAACTCATATCCAGGGAGAGTCATCCTCATACACACCAATACACAAGGCAGCCTCGAACTTCTCACCAAGGGAAGCTAGCTTAGGGACAACGTCTGTTCTTTTCCATAAGCTTTCACATAACCACCACAGCGAAGAAACAAACAAATGAAAGAATAGCATGAAAATGACTTCCTGAGACAGGTATTCTTGAAAAGGGAAAAGGTCAAAACTCAGGAAATATCTGATCCCATCTGAAAGGCAAACAACACATTTTACAACGACTATTCATGAATGTTAATAAAATCTCTTCTCATATAAGCAGTACAACCCACAAGACTACACCTAATGTATTTTAGATTATTTTTTCCTTTAGCCAAATGAAACTGGCCTTTTCTGATTAAAAACATTCTCAGGACTCAGGTCAGCCAGTTTCAAACCCATGTGGTCAAAATCTTGCCCTAACTCCGTGACCACAAGACTCCTGGCTTGGAGGGTGACATCCCTGAATAGCCCTGAAAGCTGAACAACAGCACGAGCTGCTGTGCCACGTATTCTTCGTATAGTAAACGAGACGGGATCAGCAAGGCAGACACCACCATTTCCATTATTTACCAATCTGGTGTCCAATGAGGCAAGAGATGGGGCTCTTCACCAGGGTTAGTGGACTTCAGGGGTCCACGACTGCCCTAAAATTAATATACAAGGTGCTATACACACATCCTTAACCTTTAAAGGAAGAGAGAAAAGACTTAGCTTTTACCAAATCCTCAAAACGGTCTGCAACCCAAACCAAGTTAAGAACAAGTAAGTAGGGTGCTGCAAAGACCAGACAAAAACCGGATTATTTTTCCTGGAACATGTATACACAGTGACACTGAAAATAAATTCACATTCCAAACTGTTCATGTACTTTTTTCAATTTCTCAAAAATGAAGAAAAACTAAAAAGATGACTTTCCATAATTAGAAAATTCTTCTATGTTAGGGTAAGATAAAAAAGGTACACGGAAAACCCAAATGATTAAGAAAAATCAAGCAAATGCTTCACAGGAAAATAGACTTTTTGGTTTAAGTCTTCCATTAAAAAAAAAATAGACTTAATATACAAGACAAATGAGGTCAAGCCCTTCTACTCCAGGATCCTAGGGTATTATGACTTTGTAATCACTGTGTCAAGCAATACACTAGAATGTGGAAAGTCTTTTGCTAAATCCTAAAAAATTGTATCAAAAAGTAATCCGAATAGTTGCCAATATTTCATAGTATTTGCTGACAGCTAAATAAATCAATAAAGTATTTTTTCATATCCTCTTTATACCAGAATTAAACGTTATTAGAAGCTACTGATCAGTGCAAAAGATAATGCATTCGCTTTCCTTATAACTAAAGTAGAAATCATATTTAAAAAGCATAGATTCTACTTTAAAATTCTTTACACTCTTCATAGCAAAGTTCCTCTTGGTAGCAATTAGAAGGCTCACCTTATTGTATACTGAGGACAGCATGTCTGATCCATGACAGGCTTGTATACATACTTCCCACTTCTAAAATTATAAAAATAACTTGTTAATTTCTTATACACTTCCACATGTACCAGAACAGAGTCACTGGATGAGCTCTACAATACAGACAAGCATCTAATCAACAGTGTAAAAACCCAGTCTTCTCTTTCCTAACCCTCAACACATGCTGCAAGGTCAGTCCTCTCGCTCAGCATCTCACCAGCATCTGCAACCCCTTGAAGGCCCTCCCCTGCCACCACTCCATCAGTACCAAAGCTGCCCATGATGCTATGGGACTGATGGATGCTGCCAGGGAAACACACACATACACACACACACACACACACACACACACACAGAGTGTTCATGTGTACTAGCACCAAGTACCTCAAACTAGCCTTGTTCTTCCTGGACACTGCAGACTGCTATTAGTGATAGAGCCAGTCATTCATGTCTCAGCCAGAAACGTGAGAGCCTAAATTTTACACTATTTTCTCTAATTCACCTCTATATTCGATCAGCTAGATTTCCACATGTAAAACACATCTTGTCATCTTGTATTTGTATCCTCTCTGTTTTTCTTCTCTAGGCTCTCTTCCTGCCTCCTCCATTATCCTCTCAAATACCTCTGACATACAAACCATCCTTTCTAAAATAAAATTTGATTACGTTCTTCCCTAATATAAAATCCTTGAGTTGGGGGGCGGGTTGCTGGAGAGATGCTCAGTGGTTAAGAGCATTGGCAGCTCTTGCAGAGGTAGGTCCTGGGTTCAGTCTTCAGCACCCACATGGTGACTAACAACCATCTGTAACTCCAGTTCTAGGGGATCTAACACCTCCTTCCGGCCTCCTCCAGCATTGCGCAACATTGGTGCACTTACATATGCGTAGGGAAAACACCCATAAACATAAAATTATTTTTTTTAATTTTTAAAAAAATCCTTGAATGATTTCTTCTTACCTTAAAAGAAAAAAAAGCCTTATGATGACATCCAAAATTCTTTAATATTTGACCTCTATCTTTTGAGACTGAAATTTAATTTAATGAAGGTCTTACATTTTAAGTGCTCGATTCCATATTTTAAAGAACACTGGCAGAGAATACTTGATGCCTAGTGGTGTTTGTATTTACACAAGAAACTTCCCTAAAAGTCACTTAAAAAATCATCTACTTAAAAATAACTATCCAAAAAAGATAACATCTGGACATTAACAAAATCAATAAATCAACAGTTTAAAAAAGAAAGAAAATGACAATCTTGGGCCCAGCAAGTTGGCTTGGCTGATAAAGGTGCTTGCTGCCAAGACTGACAACTGGAATTCAGTCCCCAGAAGTCACATGGTAGGAGAAAACCAACTCCTATGGTTGTTCTGACCTCTGTGCACACACTCTGGAACACGTGCGCTGAAACACAAACACCAATAAGTAAACAGACATAAAAATTTTTTTAAAGACCACAATCGGAGGCTAGAAGGATGGTTCAGCGTTTAAAGTCCCTGCTGTCCAAACATGAGGACTAGAGTTCAGATTTCAAAAAAGACAGATGGGTATGGTGGTCCACCTGCAATCCTAGTTTGGAGGAGTCGGAGACAGGAATCCCTGAAGCAAGATGGCCGGTGTGACCAACCAAAGCGGCACAAGCTCTTATGCGAGAACTTGCCATAATACATAAGGTGGGGAGCAAAGAGGAAAACACCCAAAGGCAGATTCGGGCCTCTACATACGTAACGTATGCACCCATGCACACCTGCATATGCTTTAAAAAAAAAAAAAAAAAAAAAAAAAATCTAGCGATCCTAATCAAGTGGCAGCTGGCTTCCGGGATCTTCCCACTGGATCTCAAAAGGCTGAGTGGGTATAATGGACCACGTGAGGAACCTTATCACAGAGGACAAATATTTTTCTGACCTTCTGTATTGATCTCAAAATTCTGAACTCCAGACTTGGCAAGTAAGAAGGAAAATAATTAGGGAGCCAGGTGGTGGTGCGACCAGAGCAGAAGTGGCTGCAGCAGCTGGGCATGGCAGAAATCCCAGTCAGCAAGGAACTCTTGCCTCTTTCTGCTACACAGAAGCCAAAATGCTCTTTCTTGGAGAGAAGATGGCAAGATGAGGCATGCCCCAGATAGTGACAGAGAAAGGAAAATAGTAGGAACCAGCATAATTGAAATTATGACCCCTCCTGTGAACCTAGAGCTGTGATCCCCTTCCATTATGCAGAACTCCACATTCCTCTGGTGGTAGACGGATGGTGGACAATGGAGGATGGAGGACTTCCTGATGCTGGACAGTAATTTCAGCCTTCTCTGATTGGCTACATTCCCCACAATCCCCTCCCCTGAGGTGTAAGGTTGTGCATGGCAGTGGTTTGCCTCTCTGTTGGATGCTGGGGACAGGACAAGTTCTGTCATCTGCAGTTCCCAGTCTTGGAGGACTCATTCTCAAGCACGGACTTCCCCGTCCGGCCCCCAATGGCCAGCTGTGGTCTCAACTCCACACGTGGTCCTGGCACCCAGGCCTTGGTGTTGGCTCTTTCCCACTTCCAGGCACCAAGAGCTTTTCCACCATCTTTCTACGACTCTTCCACAGTCCTAGTGTGCCTTCACCTGCGCCCTCAGAAAAATGTAAAACACCCAATTGAACTTCTAGAGGGAAAAATCACAGCCTATGAAGTTAAAAAAATTTTTTAAAGAGAAAGAAGAAAAAAGAAAAAAAAACTTCCACATGAGTCAGCCAGATGGCTCAGGGAACTGAGGTGCTTGCTGCCAGGCCTGAGACCCACATTGTAGAAGCAGAGAACTAACTCCCTCAAGCAATCCTCTGACCTTCACATGCACATTGTGGCATGTACACATACACACATACACACAAATGTATAAAAACCTTCTGAAAAATATGTAAATGTAACAAGTAACACAAGGAATTACTACTAACTTTACAAGGTATGATAAAGATACGGTAGATATGTTACAAAGGAAAATTACTCCTCACATACACACACATATTATAGGTGTGATGAATACCTTCTGTAGTAATAATTAACAGATGTAATTTGCTTTTGAGACGATGAGGAGTTAGCAGAATCAAGGAAATAAGACCAGCAAAGTTTCAGTAAATGTTGACACTTAGTGACAAGCATGTGAGGCTTATTATAATTAGCATTTCTGTATTTCTCTATAGATTTTTAATTTTGCTAATAAGCTTCTCAGAAGAAAATCACTACACAAAAGAACATAACATTTTTCTTAACCTTCCTTACAATCTAAGAAAATATTTTAAAGGCAATTTTCATTTTCAATTCTAAGAACCTGAGCAATAACAGAAAGTATCTTAGTAGTAGAGAGCTTTACCTTCTCCATCCTCGATCTATAAGATCCTGATAATCCTGCACTGTCATGGAATGTGCCCACATGCCTGAAAAAATAAGGACTGTGTCAGTTACAGCTGAATCTTATTTTTAAAATTCTAAGTGTTTTCTTTTGTTGTTGTTGTTTTTTGTCTTTTTGAGACAGGGTCTCCCCGTAGCCCCAGCTGTCCTGGAACTCACTATGTAGACCAGGCTGGCCTTGAACTCACAGAGATCCGCCTGCCTCTGCCTCCCAAGTGCTGGGACTACAGGCGTGTGCCACCACACCCGGCTCTAAGTGTTCTTTCTAAAAAGAGAAAATTTAAGCTAAGATTCCAGAACATTCACATTGGAAAAATGCAACATTTGCATATACTTCACACTTGACACAACAGATACAACACAGACACAAAATAAGATATATTTCTTCTAAAGTAGCTGTGATGATATAAGCCTGTAATGTCAGCACTTGGGTGGTAAAGGCAGAGGATCAAGTTTTAGGCCGGCCTCAGCTATGTAATGAGTTTGAAGTGAGGGTGGGCTACATGAGACCCACAATAACACACACACACACACACACACACACACACACACTAAAAAAACCAAAATTCAAAGTGATTGTTTAATTGAGGATTCATAAATAGTTTCTAAGATATAAACCTAGATCCTCACTGAATCAAACTGTATCACACCTGCAAAAGTTTATTACTATCCCCAACAAGGACACTGAAGACATAGGTCAGAGGATAAGAGCACTGGCTGCTTTTGTGGAGGACCTTTGTTCGCAACTAATACCATCCTGAACTCCAGTTCTAGAGGCTCTGACCACCTCTTCCAGCTTCCACAGGCACTGGATAACACAGGTGCACTTACATTATTGCAAGCAAATTCCTCATGTGCATAAAATAAAAATAAATGAATCAAAATAAATTTTAATAAAAATAAAACCCCCAGTGAGTTAATACACTGGTCTATTAGATTAGAAAGCACCTAGTTGTTAGTGCATACTAGTTCTAATAATTTATAGATTTAATATGCACAACACAGTCCTAATCATAAAAAATAGGACAAACTTATACAGGAACACCCCTAAGTGAAAAGCTGAAAGTAGCCAGGCGTGGTGTCACAGGCCTTTAACCCCAGCACTCAGGAGGCAGAGCCAGGCAGATCTCTGAGTTCGAGGCCAGTCTGATCTACATAGTGAGTTCCAGGACAGCCAGGGCTACACAGTGAGACCCTTTCTCAAATATTGATTAGTTAATTCATTAATAATAAAAAAACTTTTAAAACTGAAAGTCAGTCAGATCGCAGGGATACAGGTGATTACAGGCTTTATAAACTGGCATGCAGGGAGGGAAAAAGTACCCAGAGTCCAACAGAAATGTCCAATGCTGGACAGTCACACACTGATGTCAAGTTACACTGCACCCCAACTTCATCCTCTATAAAATGCGAGTATACCTAAGCACCCCATAGTAAAGATTTAAACTTGAAATGAAAGAAAATTGTACTTATTTTTCTAAACGAAAGGATTTTTCCTCCACAAATCTTGAAACACCACCAGATTCATATTAGCCAATTTTCTCTCACACAATTACTAGGGGGGGATAACTAAGGCTCTCCCTGTTAAAGTACTAATTTCAGACATATTTACTGTAACATTGGGTTAGAGGCACTATAGTCAGAATATAAAAATTCTGGTGGTGCACACCTTTAATCCCAGCACTTGGGAGGCAGAGGCAGGCGGATCTCTGTGAGTTCAAGGCCAGCCTGGTCTACATAGTGAGTTCCAGGACAGCTGGGGCTACAGTGAGACCCTGTCTCAAAAAGACCAAAAAAAAAAAAAAATTCTGAAAAAGAATGGAATCTCTATTAACAGCAACTATTTGATGTGCTTCTCTTGGGCTTTTTTCCTCTGAGAACTGGAATCACATGACGTGGGTATTTGCATCCTGTTTAACCCTAACCTTAGCATTTTTCCATTTAACTGGGCTTCAAAATCTGTACTTCTAATGATTGCGTTAACTGTCTACCCAAGACTGCTGTTCACCAGCAGCACCTAATAAAACCCTTTTTCTAATAAACACTTCTAATGAATGAGTAAAGGACCATGCCAAAACCAACCAAATCATTCCCCACTCGGTCTTTCAAAATGGACAAACAACTACCCTGTCTCCATTTTCATAGTCATCTCGTTTGCCATAATTGCTGGGTTATTTTACAGAAGCCATTCATCCTATATTCCGTATTTGCCAATCATGACAGCAATAAATAAGAATGATGCTCCGTTTACAAACAAATCTTCCCTAAGAAACCTGAACCATGACGGAAAACCAAGCTGACTGTGTTGTGGTCATCAAGAGGGGGGTGAGGGGATGACATGGCATGGGTCCTTGATAAAAACACCATCCCCCCTCCCTCTCCCCCCCACACCCCACCACCACCACCCCCGCAGGATCCCCAGTTTCTGAAAGGTTCTTCCAGGGACATATTATCCAAGGATGACAGTGAGCGAGCAGGTGTGCACACACCACATATACACACACACACTGGCAACAGCAGTTACCCACACACCACACACAAGCTGCAACTTGACCTGAGCACGCATCCCGCCGAGCCCGGGTCTCGACCCCGACAGCTGCAGCGCCCGGGCCTCCCCGACCCCACAACCGCAGCGCCCTCCCCGGCCCCACAACCGCAGCGCCCGGCTACCCACGCCCGCCGGCCCGGCTCGCTCACCGTGGGAGCGACTGCCCGCCTCATTCTTGCAATAGCCGCAGCGGTAGAAGTCCTCGCCCTCAAAATACTCTACGATGCTAGGCGAATGCGCGCTCCAGGAAGCCATGGCCTCGGCCTCGCCAGCCCGGAGCCGCCCGGCCCAACGCCAGCCGCCGTCGCCACCGCCACCCCACAATGCAGCGCGGGCGCCCCCGAGGCTCGCGCGAAGCCACTCGGGCGCTCGCTGGCCGGGCTAGGCCTGGCGCCCCTCCGGACTGACGCCGCCCGCGCCATCTTGGTCGAGGGCAGCGGTCCGCTGTTTCCGTTTTTTTCCCTCGGTGAGGGGCCTCTCCCGTCAGTGGGAGCGCGGCTGCCCGACCGAGCGGGGCGGGGCCGGGCTGGGGAGTCGGGGGAGGCGAGAGGGGCTGGGAGCGGGAGCCGGGTCCCTAGCCGCTCGGGGCGGACGGCGGACACTCACCGCAGGACGCCTTGCCCTCGTTGGAGTCGCAGTAGCCGCATCGGTAGCCGGCCTTACGGCCCTTGTACTCCACCAGCGAGGCCATGGCCGCCGCCGTGGCCCTTCCCCAGCCACGCCTCTCGGCTCCGGGCCGAGCTCGGTGGAGGGAGGGTGGGGGGCGAGGCCGGCGCGGGTCCGAGCGACCCTCCGGCCTGTGCACCGGCCTCGGGTGTGGGCCTGGATGGCGGCGGGCGCTCCGCGACCTGCCGGGTCGGAGTCCACACCGCGGGGCGGGAGTGGGCAGCCCGGCGGTTCACAGATGGTGAAACTGAGGCGACAGGTTAGGGTTGACCCCGGCGTTTGCTGCAGGTGTGGGGTTGACAGTTCCCTGACCACCTGTGAGCAGTGAGCTGGACTTGCTTTCAAAGTAGCTGACTTCAGTGAATGCCCAGCGCTAGGTGGAGGTAAATAGGCATTTAGTGAGTTCTAGAAATGAACACTTAAACGCCTTTAAAGAAAACAGCTGCGGGCAGAGCTCATTGCGTAATGACACTAAAGCCGGGGCCATACACCTTTTAAAGGGACGGTGGAAATGCAAGGGTTGGTTTGGTTGGTGTTTTTTTTGTTGTTGTCTTTTTAAGAAACAGGGTCTCCCAGCAGCCTCCACCTGACCTGGAACTGGCTATGTAGCCCAGGCTGGCCTTGAACTCACAGAGATCCGCCTGCCTCTGCCTCTCGAGTGCTGGGATTAAGGACCTGCACCACCATGCCCTGCCAGTTTGTTTTTTAATGTATGAGAACTTTAAATATCACTTCAAAAGGTTTTGGGGGGGGGGTTGTTTTTTTCTTTTGAGACAGGGTCTCCCTGTAGTCCCAGCTGGCCTGGAACTCGCTCTGTAGACCAGGCTGTCCTCGAACTCACAGAGATCCCCCTGCCTCTGCCTCCCGAGTGCTGGGATTAAAGGCGTGCACCACCATGCGGGGCTCAAAAGGCTTTTTAACGCTGCAGGCCAGACGTTGATCTAGGCTGAATTCAGCCCATGACTCTCCAATTTGCAGCCACTGTTTTAAAGAGCATGTTTGAAAGATTAACATTCCTTCATCTTTCCCTCTGGGTACACAGATAATTAAAGTCTTATCTGGGCATCATAGCTTTTGTAATCCAAAGGTTGATTCTTTCTTGCAGAGCCTAGAAAGTAAAATCATGGAACAGAAAACATTTTGAAGCTGTTAAGGAGCCCAGGTTGGCCTAGAACTCAGGGTCCTCCTGCCACAGTGTCTACTGTGCTGGAATTGAGGGTGCAGGTTACCAGCTCAGCTAGAAAGAAACTGTTAAAAGTCAGTTTCAGTGTTCTTGACCCCAAGGTTTGCTGGGCTAAAGATGTGTGTAGTTAAATTTAGTAGGTTCTCGCCCTGGCAACTTGCATTGCTAGACATCTTTTGTACCTCATGTAATTATTTAGGTACCTAAGAGATGACCTTACCATATACAAGAGGTTCATCGGGTCCTTAAAAGTGGAAATACCTTGTTGGGACTGTGCCCATCTTTTCATGAAAGGCTTCATCCATTTTGGTTTTTATTTTGTTTTTTATGTGTTATGAGTGCATTGCCCACATGTATGGAAGTACACCGGTGTTGTGCAGTGCTTCGGAGGTCAGAAGAGGGCTTCAGATTCCTCTGGAACTGGAGTTAAGGACGGTTTGCAGTCACCACATGGGTGCTGGGAATCAAACCTGGGTCCTCTGTGAGAGCAGTCAGTGCTCTTAATTGCTGAGCCATCACTCCAGCCCCCATCCATTTTGTTTTTTGTGGCAGGTTTGCCTCTTGCCAGGCCCTTTCTTAGAAAAGCTCTCATATTGAATGAAAGCAAGGACCCACAGAATGAATCAAAAAGCAGACTTCCATGCTCTGGACAGAAGGTAGGAGGCAAGGCGTTCTTTGGTCTGTACAGTAGCTTCCCATCCCCCACTCCCAACCATGGTTTTACTTTTCTTGGTTTCAGTTTTCCATGGTCAACCACAGCCCAAAACTAATGTGTATAAAATTCCAAAATAGCTCAAAAGTTTCAAGTTGGGTTCCATTCTGAGTGGGTGATGAAACTGCTGCTCATCCCAGCTGTCCTTCCTGGCATGTGAATCACCTTTGTCTAGCAGTCCCTATTGTATATGCTACCCATCAGACTATGAAGGTATTGTAATCCTTGCGTCCAGATTACCCTTATTTTACTCACTGGCATCAAAGCAGGAGACTGGTGGCACTGGCATTCAGGGCATATCAAAGAGAAGCCACACTTTGCTCCTCTTCAGTGAAAAAGTAACAGTTCCTTACTTTGGGGGTGGGAAAGAACACAACATGGTTAAGAGGACTTGCTCTTGTGGAGGACACAGGTTTGGGTCCCAGTACCAATATGGTAGCTAACAACCTCTGGAACTCCAGTTCTAGGGAATCCGATGCCCTCTTCTGGCCTCCTCAGGCACCAGGCACACACATGTACACATACGTACATGCAGACAAAACACTCATAAAATTTTTTTAAACTAAAAAAAATTAGACCGGGTGTGGTGGTGCATGCCTTTAATCCCAGCACTAAGGAGGCAGGGGCAGGTAGATCTCTGTGAATTCAAGGCCATCCTGGTCTACATAGTTCCAGGCCAGCTGGGGCTACAGGGAGACCTTGTCTCAAAGAAGACTTAAAAAAAAAAATTAAAAAGAAAATGTTTCATTTAATAAAACAGTCTTACACTGAGGTTGCTAAGATACAGTGCAATAAGGTTCTTTAAGAGAGCCTGTAATTCAAGGACTGAAGCAGGATAAAAAAGTGGAGGTCTGAGCTATATCACAAGGCCCTCCCTCACATTAATTTTTCGAAGACTGCATTCAGACTTTTGTCATTACAGTACATCGTTGTAACTTTCCTATTGTTTGTCTCTTGCTCTGCCTAGTTTATAAACTAAACTTGATGATAGATGCATATAATATAAGGAAAAGCAATATATAATAGAGTTCTACACAGTCTACAGTTTCAGGTATCCGCTGGGGTCTTGAACTGCATCAAGAGGAGAGACCACTACATCCTCTCTTGCTTTACTTCTGTCCCTTTGAAGTCTCAGCCTTATCCAAACCCAGCTTTAGCCAGTGCTCTCCAGAATTTGCCAGCCTTGAACAGTAATGAGAATGTACAAAGTTTGAGGCATACGTATTACTTCGCTTAATATTACAACTTCACAAGACAGAAAACACAAACTGGGGCCTGAATAACTTGTCCAAGGTCAGACCATTGTAAGGGACATATAAAGGGATAAAGAGTAATAAAAATAAAAGGGAGAGGAAAGATGAATAAATACTAGGTTTGGGCCTACATGGACCAGTGGCTCCTGTCTATATTTTCTTAATAGAGACAGTTTTCATATTCCAGGCTCCAATGAGAGGGAAAAGAGGCAACACTTCAATTTATTTCCTCCCTTTTGGGGGTCGGGGGTTCTTGGAGAGGGCACCATTAAAATGTGCTATTAGGGGGCTGGAGAGATGACTCAGCAGTTAAGAGCACTGACTGCTCTTGCGGAGGACCCAAGTTCAGTTCCCAGCACCCACATCATGGCTCATAACTAATGCCAGTCCCAGAAAACTCTAACGCCCTCTTCTGACCTCCACAGGCATTGCATGACATGGGTGCACTTACATACATGCTGGCAATATGCTCATACACATAAAATTATTTGTAAAATGTTCTGTTAGGTGCTAGCAATAGAGACTTGTCTGTCTTTAATTTTCTTGACAGAATGAACTGCTCATAACACTGTTCAGTCTCACTGACATCTGTTTATATTACTAGATGTGATATCTGGTCTGCAAAGTACTAGATAATGTGAAGGCTCTTTGCCTGGTGTCAGTGCAGTTACAGGGAATCCTTCTCCAAAGGATTCTCTAAGTACATAGGACCCAGGTTAAGCCAGTGAAAAACAAGTGTGAGACAGAGACAGATAAACCAGAGAAGAGAAGAGGAGCATTCACTGAGGGGAGGTAGTGTGAACAGAAGCAGGGACGTGGAGAAGAGCACAGGGTCACAAGTAGCAGGAGTGGGAGAGACCTGAAAGAGGCTTCCTCTGTGGGCCGCTCACTACAAGAGACTAGACTGGACCCTTTCCATCTCTTGTCAAGACCTCACTCTTCACTTTGGGAGCTACTAACCACATTGGCTACAGTTTTAGTTTGCCTTCAATTGCTTTGACAAAACACTGATCAATATCAACTCCAGGAGGAAAGGGTTTATTTGGTGTACATTTCATGGGTCACAGTTCATCATTGAGGGAGCCCAAGGCAGGAACTCAGGGCAGGAAACTGTGGAGGCAGGAGCTGGAGCACAGGCCATGGAGGAACACTGCTTAACTGGCTTGGTTCCCTTTGGCCCATGTTCATCCTGCTTTTTTGTACAAAACACCTGCCTAGAGGTGGCACGGCGCACATTGAGCTGGGCCCTCCCACATCACTCAACAATCAAGAAAATGCCCCACAGACATGGCCACAGGCCAGTCCAATGGTGGTAATTCCCCAATTGAGGCTCCTTCTACCCAGGTGTAGTATCAAGTTAACAACTAAAACGAACCAAGCTACTAAGCTCCTAAAATGTAGCTTGCATCACTGGGGAACGGATTTTTTTTTTTATTTAAGTCTAAATTTTATAATTACACATGTACCAAATACCAAGCAGGGTAAATACCTCCAAAAACCTACACATTGGGCTGGCAGGACGGCTTAGTGGGAAAGGGTACCTGCTGCCAGGCCTGATCTTCCAGGAGTTTGATTCCCAGAATCCACATGGTAGAAGGAGAGAACCAATTGCCACAATTTGTCCTCCGACTTCCACATGCATGCTATGGTCTATGTGCTCGCACACACACACACACACACACACACACGCACGCACACACAATGTAATAAACATTTGTAAAGCTACATTTAGGCATATCGTATTCAAACATCAGAAAATCAAAGAGAAAACAGTGGAAGAAGCCAGAGAGTAGGGGGGCTACATGGGAGGGTAAGGGGGTCTGAGTCCTCTTCAGAAACCGTAAGAGCAAGAAAGCAGAGTGAAGCACACGGTATTCTTAAGAAAAAAGAAACAAACTAGTGTTGAGTCTGGTGGTACACATTTTTTTTTAATTTTTACAAAAACTTTGAGAATTTCATACATGCATATAAGGTGTTTTGATCAAATCCATGCCCACTCCCTCCCCTCCAACATTCCCCCCTCTGAAGAGGTAACCCTAAAATCTTTTAAGGATTAGCTACAAGCTCCCAAATACTTTTGATATTTTTGACCTTGGAACAGAATATGTTGCTAACAGGCCCAAGGACATTTTGACTTTTAGCCAAGAAACTGGCTGCATTTCTTTGGGGTCTTTTTACCCTAACTGCCTAGCCAATTCCTACCTCCTTATCTCACCATCCTCTG